TTGGTAGCCCAGGCTGGCCTCGAACTCACAGAGATCCGCCTGTCTCTGCCTCCCGAGTGCTGGGATTAAAGGCGTGCGCCACCACCGCCCGGCGTATGTGGCAAGTTTTTAAAAGATGTTTAGTATCTTGTAAGTTTCTGTCATTCCAGCCATCTGCTAACTGTGTTTCCCTTTAACACTTCCTCTTCTCCCTCCACCTTGAGGCTCTTCCCAGCCTTTCAACTCAACGGTGGTGCTATGATAAATATTCCTCCTTCTTGGTAAAGATGTCCACATGACTTGTGACATTTCATTCCTTCTTCACACATTGATTCATTCAGCCCTGCTTACTCAGCCTTCCTCTGCTCCTGGCACCATGCCCTATTTCCCAAGCTGCCTCAGAATGGAGCACTGTGCCTTCTTGTTTGTCTCTGCACAGTCTTCTTTCTGCATGGAGGACTAGCTCTTAACCTGTTTTCCTTGCATGCTGAGTACGATTGTAACCGACATTAAAGCAGAAACTGCAAACACTGGGCAAATACCGTGGTGTAATTGATGGAACCAGGGGGCAGGGCCTGCTGTCCGCCTTACCGCCACGCCCAGGGCCGAGCACCGCTCTGCGCCAGGCTTTGTAGCACTGCGTTCAGGCCGGCTGCCCTATCGCCTCTTCCTCTGTTTTCAGTCCCGTATTGTTTGTCTGGGGCTGAGGGCTAAGTCCAGGTAGAGTAAATGAGCTGATAGACAGCCTCGGCTGACAGTTCTGTGCTTCCAGGGCAGTTTTATAGCAAATTCATGTAAAATAGATTTTTTTAATTTGAATAGCTGTTTTATTATTTTTAAAAATGATATCCAAGCACACCGTGGGAGGTGTGTCATTGATGAGTGACTTGTAAGCACTGTCTTTGAATTGATGTCCTCACTAGCATTTGGCTGTCCCCTTTCCCTTAGATTTTGCTTATTGACTTCAAAGAGAAAATGTTTCTCTATCTGTCACATCTGCGGGTGGGCACACATGTGGAGCTCAGGGAGACCTCGGGCGCCAGTGCTCCTCTTCCACCTTGTGTGTTGGGCTCTCTTATAGTTTGTTCCTGGGAACACAGACTGTCTGTCTCACGCGTCCCACCACAGGAGTTCTGGAGTTGAATTACATGCATGTGCTACCGTGTCAGGATTTTGTATGGGTTATGGGGGTCCACACTCTGTCTTCATGCTTGCCCGACGAGTTTGGTACCGGCTGAGTCGTCTCCCTTCTCCCTGTCACGGAAGTGTTGATAGCTTCTGTAGTAGAAAAGGAACTGTCCGGCCAGGGCCATGGGTGTGCTTTGAAGCAAGCAGTGCTCCATTCACAGAGTACCACTTCAGTTCCTTCCCTCACACAGAAAGCAGACGCTCCCAATTCTTGCCAAGTTCTTAGAGCTAACTGAATAGGCTTTGGCCTCTGTGGTGCAGCACTTCAAAAAAGAATGTCAGAACGTCTTTAATCCATTAATTTCTGGGTACAGGAAAATGCTTTTCAAGCTTTCTTGGTGAGAGAACAGACTGGTTTTGAAGGATTGCATCTTCAGAGTTTTGTTGAACATTTTATTCATATGTTTCAGTACAGCTCAGCTCTTGTTCATGGCTTAAATAAATCGGCGCATTACAGTTAGTCCTTCTCCTCGCCCCTCCCCCTGTGTTAGGCTTTGTCCACCTCTCCTCTTGAGTGGAGCATGAAAAATGAATTTGAACATGAGTGGAATCCATTTGGTGACTGGGGCTTTTATTGTAAATAAAATCATTCATTTGTTATGTCCTGTTGTTTTCAGCAGACAGTGTATTGATCTGTGGATTGCTATTCAGAAGGGTGCACGGAGCTCTAGCGTGAGAGGGACAGAGCGGTGTTTGTGGAGGCTTTGAATGTGGTGTGTAATGATGGAGACAAACCTTGCTCACTGGCCATACTGTATTATACAAATCATTTGTCA